TGTTATAAACCCCATAATACCTTTTATTGTATTTGCTTTGAACAGTCAATTATATTTAAAATAAAAATGTATTTTATTAAAATAAAACACTTTAAAGACATATATGGGTTGAAACTAAAGGATGAGAAAACATACCACGCAAACAAGGATTAAGCCCCCCAGAAGCCTGCTTAGCCACTATGCCAGCAAATGTGGAAGACCAGCTCCATGTTGTCCGTTGATTTGCCTCCTTCTAGGAGTGACTCAACTTAAAATAAGAAGAAATAATAATGGTGAAAAGATGTTTTGTTTACCTTTACAAATAATCAAAGAAATGTGAATTTAAACAATTAAACATTATCACTTTCTACTTTCAAATTGACAAAAAGTTAAAAAAGTTGTACCACACAAGGAAGTTGTACCAGATAGTTTCTATGGGCCACCTCCTCTTGAATCTGCTCTGGGAGGCTTGTAGGGGAAGCATCTTTTATGTTGCAAAATAAGGTGCGATCCTAGTCCTTAGCTGACACATCCCTGCGCAAACCAGGTGCAATTCCAGTACCTCTAGCACAGATATCATTGCTGTCTCTACATAGTCTTTTCCCCCTCCAGGTCATGTTACCATTTGTGCTGGGGCTACTTTTACCTCTAAAAACCCATTATGTCTAGCTGCCATGGAAGATATCTGAAATTTTATGAAATTCACATTGACAGAGCAAGACACTGCTGTTCTATAACCAGGCAGCTATACCCTGAAAGTTGGAGGGAAGGATGGAGCAGCCAGTTAACCAAACCAGTCTCACTGGTCTGCTGCGAGGCTGGCCACATGTTGTGGTCTCTCCCAGTCCTTCTTTTATACCCAAAAGAAATCTGCACATCTGCTGGTGATTAGGAGAAGCAAAGTGGTGGTCTGGTCTCCTTTCAACCAAGCACATGCATGCATGTGCACACACACACTTAATTCTTCAAAATGTCCAAGAAATTCCTTTTAAAAAAAGTATTTAATTCTGACTGAAGCAATATATGTGCATAATTTTAAAAGTCAGATGATGCTCTGTGACTTGTAGGGAAGCAAGCAGTCCTCTGCTCTGTCTGCTGAGCTTCAGTTTCTACTCCCCGTCTCCACTGCTCAGAAGAAATGCTTTAAACTCTTAGGTTCTTCTCACTCTTTAAAATCTTGACATTTTTTACACAACATGCTTATATTACTATTTATGATTTTTTTAAATTTTAGAAATTATATATATTGACTTGTGACTGAAATCCTATTATGTTTTCTAAACTACCATATATTCCTCTCCCCATCTTTCCAATTTAGTTACATCATATTTCTTGTCAAATTAAAATTTTGTATCATTATTATATGCAAATATTGTTCGCAGCAAGAACATGCATTGTATTATGATTTTACTTCCTTTATTATACCATTTTAAATAATTGCCTTATTTTTTATTTACTCAGTTTTATAGCAGTTAATTGTCTCTGATTCAGTGCCAAACATTCTAAAGCAGCAGTCCCCAACCTTTTCGGCACCAGGGACCATTTTCATGGAGGAGAATATTTTTCATGGACTGGGGTGGGGGACTAGGGGGATGGATTGAGGATTATGCATTTATTGTGCACTTTATTTCTATATTATTACATTGTAATATATAATGAAATAATTAGTACAACTCACCATAGGTTGGGGACCCCTGTAAGGAACTCTGGCACTCATCTCCTGCAATCAAACTCACTCAAGTAACCTGTGAGTTCCACGGTTTCCCCTCACAGATAGCCCTTCTGGAGCCATTACTGCTGTCAGCCCTGTACGGCCAGACCCAGCGTATCCTCTCCCTGTGCAAGTACCCGGCTTCTGGGCTGCCGGTCAGTTTCTTTTTATCAGCTTCTTTCCCTGCAAGGGCCAGATTTTTGCTTTCACAGCTCAGTTAGTCAGTACCATTCATTCAACGACTTTTCATTTTCCCAAATTTGGTTGACATATCTAGTCTGCCATCTCTCCTTCTCTTTCTTATTCCTTTAGTGTCCTTCTGTGAGGCTTTAGAAAGAGCTGGAGGTATACCTATGTGTTCCATCTGCCTGGTATAAGTGAAAACCTGCTTCCATAAATTCTTAACTTCAGAGTTCCAGTGACAGAGTCGACCTCCAGTCATGTGTCACTTAACAATGGGGATAGTTCTGAGAAACCCATCGTTACATGATAACATCATTGTGGGACCATCATAGAGTGCACTTACATGATCTTACATGTTGTAGTCCACTACACACCTAGGCTATCTGGGATAGCCTGTTGCTCCTATGCTACAAACCTGTACACCATATTATTGTACTGAGTACTGTAGACAATTGCAGCACAATGGTGAGCATTTGTGTGTCTAAACATAGAAAAGATACAGTAAAAATATGGTATTATAATCTTATGGTACTGCTGTCATATATGCTGTCTGCCATTGACTGAACCATCGTTATGTGGTGCACGATTGCATTTGGAGTAAATAGGAGTGGTTAGGAATTCGTCTACACAGCTCATCCCCAAGTACAATTGAGTGGCAGGACTTATGCCTAGATTGGGGGTACCCTTTATGGTCAATCATGTTTATCTGTCTTCTCAGTATCTCTTACAAATTTGCTAGTGGTCCATAAGGACTCTGCTCAATGCAGAAGCAGAAAGCTTTCCCCTGGGGTCTCTTCCTTGCCACCTCCTGCTCGAAGTCCTTTTATCCCTTCTCCCTGAAATGGTTGCTCTTGGCCATGGCCTTGGGTGTGCATTGTCAGTCCGTGGATTAGGGCTTTGGTGGAGGTTTTTCTGTTTTACCCAGACCCCTTGCTGGAGATGGTGTATAGGGAGCCTCAGATCCTGCTGATGGGATGGAAAAAGGCCATTATGGTCATCTGTTCTCCAGGTGGGTTATCTAAAACATATCAGATATCTGGAGCTATTGGCATATCTCCTGTATTTTATTATCCTGGAGAGTGTCTGCCTTCTTCTAAGACTTGGGTTATATTGTGAGCATCCTTTTCAATTATCTTAGCGTTGGAGGGCCTGGGCTCTAGGAAGAGAATGGAGGAGAGAAAAAAATTACAAAAAGAATTTTAAAATTTAAGCAAGTATTGTTGGATGTATTAATTAGTATTTTGTGATCCCTAATCCTTTTATTTATTTATTTGTACATCTTTAAAAACAAAGTGCAAAGGAGCTGAATGAACTTATGTTATACTTTTTGCCTCTTTTCATTCTAACCATCTGGGCAGGCATCACTAATTTGGCATAAACCCTCCATGTGCCATAATTTGCTTAATAATTCCCTATGGTGTACTAAGTTCTATAAAATCCATTTTTAAACAGTAAAGTGGAAACGAGACACTTCAAAGAGATAAATCAGATACCTTGGATATAAGTTCTAAGAATGTGTTAAATATGTACTAGAAATATAAAAAAATAAAGTCAAAGTACCTTAGAAGGATTGGCTAAAAAATAGTTATCGATATGATCAAAAGTAGAGGAAGCAGAAAGACATCAAAAGTTACCCAAAATATCTCCAAAAGAATGGACAGGGAAGCCATGAGCAGTTGTGCAGGTTGTGCACTGGACAAGGTATCTAGTCAAAGAAAGAAGCTTATACTTCGATTGCCTGGGTTAAGTGCCCATGGAATCCCACAGGTGCTATAGGGGCTAAGGGCAGCCCTGAGAACAGGGGCTACATTATAATATGTGAACTAGAATAGATTGTACAACTGTAAATTTAAGGAAAATGTGTCATTAAAGGAATTGATGCTTTGACATTTAGACAAACTGGAATTCTTCAGGGCCCCTTAGCAAGTTGGGACCCAGATTGGGTGGCACCTGGTTCTTCTATATTATACACTTTATCTGGGTCTTGTGAAGGACAGGACAAAGCCTGGGCTATCAACTCTGAGACTGCAGAGCCAAAATACCTAGTTTAGAGAGTTAAGAAGGTTCTAGGTATTCAGAGAAACTCAAGTATTTCATCTCATTTCATTAAGTTATCTGCAAGAGCCTGAACATCCAAACTTCCAAAGCCACTTAAAATTAGACCCCATGTTGGTAAATCAAGGAAACATAAGATGAAAATCAGAGTCAAGATTATATGAAAGGTGACCCCACAGATCACAGCAGAGAATCCTACCAATGTCCTCCAGGAGGAGGGAAGAGACTCAAATTATTTTCCTGAGATTGAAGATCTTGGGAAATGAGCTGGGGTCAGATCTGGAGCATTCGGCACCTGATGCTCCCCTCTTGGGGGTGAGCGTCAGAGCCAGGCTCATGAGGAAGTTAGCTGCAGAGAGGAGGAGGGATGGGGCTCCTTTTCCTACAATCAGGAGGAAGTGTGAGAGAAAGATGAGGGCTCCCAGGATCATACTCAAGTGGAGATGAGGGGTCTGCAGGGAGCTCACTCCAGATGGACTCAATTTTCTATGTAAAAATCATGTGAGGTCATCCAACAAGTGTGGGGGGGAAGGGCCAAAGAAGAATGGAAAGCAGGAGAAGAGGGCCGTGTTTGAAGTTTTTAGCCTTAAATGTATGCACGGGGGTGACCAGGATTAGGTGAATGGTGATTTGTTTTGTTCTCCAAGCAGAAGTGATGGACCCGCAAGGGAGAAAGTTCAGGGCATTTGTTCATTGTGAGTTAAGCATTATGATTTAATTTCTGTTTCAAAAATTGCTGCTGTATGTAGTCAAAATGTCTTAAAATTATGAACTTTGTTTAATTTTGTTTTGTATGTAGAAAAGTACACAGATTTCAAGATTTCAACAGATTTTCACAAAATTAACCTTCTCATGAACCCAGACTGAAAACTCAAACATTAGCAGCACCTGGGGCTTCCTTGTGCCCCCTTCCCATCTCGAATGCCCCTCCCGGGGGTAAACAATACCCTTATTTCTAACAGCTTACATCTGTTTTGCAAATGAACTTTAAAGTTAGTCTGTTCCTTCTCTGAAAATATATGGGTATGATCTTAAGTCATTCATTGTTGTCTCTTTTTTTTTTGGTGCGGAGACTGAGCTGTCAGGTATACTAGCCGGGGATGTGTATGTACTGAGTAGCGGGCACAGCAAACTTCGTCTTCCAGAAGCTTCATCACAGTGAGTTCACAGTCCATGGGGCGGGTGGGTGATGGAGTGTGCACGACAGCACCCCTGCAGGCCCTCCGTCACCTCTTGTTCCCTGCTATGGGTGGGCAGAGGGTCCTTGTGTGTGAGGAAGGGTCAAGGTCAAGGGTCAGGAAAAATCACCAGCATGGGACAATGCCAGTGGGTCCAACATGTGCTTACTAGGCCATTTTTTTCCAGCTCACAGTCTAACAGGGAGAAGAATAAAGCCACCACTGACTATAAAGAAATAAAGGTCACATTATGGCACAAAGTAATCCAGTCTCCAAATACACACCATGTAATGGCAAATGAGTAGTCTAATAGTCAGTCTTGTGTCCCTCTGGTCAGGGCAAAGTACCTACACAAGTCAGTGGCAGGGACTCGCTAGACTCCAGCCCCTCACTAGACTCTGTAATTTCCTAAGACCACATGGGACACTCCATGGAAACCTGCCCACGTATTTCGATGTGCACTTCTGTGGGGCAAACTCTCATTTATCTTTACTTTCCTGCCCCCAGCACAAGGCTGGGCACACCCAGTGTTCAATAAATGCGTGTTAAATGGATGAACCAATGAATGAACTCTAGCGTACTTTAGAGCAAGGGATACTCAATTGCTGTGTTCTCTAACCCCTGGTCTATAGCCTGGTACTGTTCTGTGGCCTGTTAGGAAACAGGCCTCCCATCACTACTGGAGATCCACATCCTCCTCCCCCAACCCACAACACCCCACAGCACCTCACCCTGGTCCATGGAAAATTTATCTTCCATGAAACCAGCCCCTGGTGCCAAAAAGGTTGGGGTCCACTGCTCAGATGTATCCAAATCGTGGTTCTCTCCAGGCCTATGTGTGGGCTTCTGCAGCCAGAGCCTGGGAGGTGGGTCATTCAGCTCTTGTTGGGTGATATTTCATCTCTCTGAGCTCTGTTTCTTCACCCTGATCCAGTCGTACGTATCTCAAAGAGTTGCCATGAGAGTGCACGGAGGGTCTGCCATGTGAATTCTTGTCCCTTGCATATCCAGGGGCCTTTTATGGCCCGGGTCCTGGAAGCAGCTGCTTCATGGGTGAGGGCACATTCTATTCTTTGGGCAAAATCTGACAAAAGAAGGCTGAGAATCCTACCTGGGCCAAGGTGATGACAAATGTAATGGTCTCTGAAGTTTACCAGCAGAGATGTTGAGCCGCAAGGGAGAAAATGATACCCCCATGGCCAGTGGAAACACCTACCTGGAACTCGGATGTTTTCCATCTTGTTGGTTCATCAATACCCAGGAGCCGCTGGCCGTGCATGCTCACTGCTTGTGTAACGAATGCGTGTTAAATAGAAGAGCTGCATGCTGCCATTTACAGCCTTGCTCCTCTAGGTGTGGTCCCTGACTAGCACACCTGCGAGCTTGCTAGAAATGCACAGGCTCGGGCCTCGGGCCCTCCTGCGTACCCAGGCAGTCAGAACTCGCTTTCTAACCAGTTCCCTAGGGGATTCCTGTGCACATTAGAGATGGTAAATGTCTGCTTTAGAGAGCTGGGGAAACACACACTCAACACTGGGAATCTCAGTTCTGCTGTTTCACTCTGAGGTCCCTCACTGCCCCCTATAGACCGTGATCATAGTAGCCATGGACTGACCAAAACACAAATCAATCTGGAGATGGACACTGCCTACATTTTCTTGTGTGATTAGTGCATATAGAGCACAAGACTCTTGAAATACCAGACACAGTGAAAAAAGACACATCAAGTCAATCTGGGGATGTACTTTTCTATGGCTTATAGAAAAACGGGTGGAGAAAACACATTTTAATGGCCCAGCAAGCATTCAATTTTGTAAAATTAAATGTGTCATTCTTTCTATATTTCCTTAGAGTAGTTCAGTGCAGTATAATTCCATAGCTATTGCCTCTAAATCCTGATAGTCGGTGTCTTCTGTGTATTCATTTAGCATATTTTATAAAAGGAATTTGGCATTTTTTCCCAAGGGGAAATGGGGACAATGGGCACAGTTAGAGCATTCGTCCAGGTGGTGGCTGGGGTAGAGACAGACAGAGGAATATAAAGCATCCTAGACTGATGGGGTTTAGGGCAAGACTCTCCCTGGCCAATGAAGGCCCCCAGACTCCCACACAACCCTGATGGTGACCAGAAAAGGAATCAAGCCATGTATAATAATGATGCTAATGAAAATGTGTCATGCATTTAACAAAGCTTCCCTGGGTCCTCTGGCACCAGTGAAGCCATTGCCATCGACCTCATAGTCCACTTAAGGAACAGGGCCCTCCCAAGATCAGGGACCAGGCCACACCGGATGGGAATTCCTGTCCTCTGTGACAGCTGCTATGCACACCTGGCCAGATGTCCACATGGGAAAACCTTATTTTCTGTGCTCCCTCCTCTTCTGAACACCAGGGCAGGATTCTAACCCTTAGTCCACCCTCTGGCTGCAGAGATGACTCACACCATTCTAGGAAGGTCGACACTGGGAGGACCATTGCTCACATCCCCTTGAAGGGACAAGATGACAACATCACCTCACGTTTCCTTGGCCCTTCAATGCCACCTACATTTACCACCACTCCTCTTTAATCATCACCCCCCAACTTCTTGCTAAATCTAATACATTACTTTAAGTCCTCATCTGCCCTTTTCATGGTCATTTATTTATTCATTAAATGAATATTTATGTTCATTGGGCAGCTCTCAGACTTCAAGTGCTCTCTGGCATTGGGAATGCTGCAATAAATAAAGCAGACGAGTCCCTTGCCTTTCTGCAGCTGTGCTGTCCAACACAGTAGCCACTAGCCACACATGGCTGTTTAAATTTTAATTAATTAAAGTTGAATTAAACATTAAAAGCTTCAATTGCCAACTTTTCGCTGGTCGATAGCCACGTTGGCCAGCAGTTGCTGGTATTGGACAGCGCAGGTTGGAACATTTCCATCATCACAGAAAGGTTTACTGGACAGCAGTACCTTAGAGCTTTTATTCATCCTGGTAGAAGGCGACAGATGATAAACAATTTTAAGAATATACATATATAAATATCAAGTGGATAAAGTGCTATGGAAGAGAACAAAGCGAGTAAAGGAGAGTAAATGGAAAATGATGAAACCGGGTGCAGGAGCTGCTGTTGTAACCATTGGCTCCAGTGGCCTTTTTCTTTTTCTTGAAATTCCTTCTTTGGTGCCATTTCACCCTTTTCTATTTGTTCTTCTATCTATCTGGTTAATGCCACAGAGATGGAAATTAAGATTATTACAATAAGTACTGCAAGTTTCTGTAGCAACAGTTTTTGCATTCAGCACCATTCAAATGAGCTTCTGTGTCAAGACTAAAGGTTCTAGTGTGCTCTTCGAAAAGTTAGCAGTACAAATAAATGACAAGAAACTAACCAGTCTGATATGCTTATGTTCTAATATGTTCAGAAACGTTTACCTCTGTTACTTCTTAGTAACACCAAAAGATGGCAGCAGTGGTTTACAAAACCATCTGGACAACAGGACTTAATTCCTTACCCCCAACACAAACTTTATCCATCTATTTATTAGAAGTGAAAAATAAATCCTCAGGGATAAAATGTGGAAATATAAAATGGCACCTATGTGATTAACAAAGGCTAATTAGAATTACAGTGTGACCCAGAATTCTACCTGAATGTTTGTAGGGTCCAGAGTAATGGAGTCATGTATTGTAGATAACTAATATTTGCATTAATTCACTAGTTAATTACACTTGCATTTATTGTTAAAATGCTGCCCCTTACCTAATCATCATTTTTAAATAAATAAAAATACTTCAATTTTTTTCCTCTACATTTTAAAATGAAAAGTCTCTCTGGCCTTCTCTTAACTCATCAATTGATTTTCCCTCAGCTTCATGTAAAACAATAAGTGAAGAAAATCTATACATTTGCTTCCAGTTGTGATCTTGTGAGTTCAAGGCAAATTGCCATGTTCAACATCTGGGATTCATCATGTCTGGTGTTACCTCATTGATGGGCACACATCTTTCCCAGATGTGGGGGGAAAAACGGCCTATGAAGTTACAAGGAAAGCAAACCAGTATTCATGCTCTCAGCTTTCTGCTACAGCCAGGTATGTGCGAATACTAAATGGAGGGAAAGAATGCCTCTTGGTCTAGTTTGTCTAAATACTTGGCACACCTTGCAAGAGCTTTGTAGCAGGCCAAACCCTGTCTTTTCATGTACGAGTAACCTGGATACCTCCTGAGAAAGGAGTCTGAGTGAGAGCTTTTTTTTTCATGAAAAAGGGAGACATAAAGCTAGAAATAGAGAGGTTATGGTTAACTAACATTTTAGGGTTAATGTAAGATGTCAGTGTTTGAACTCAGCTCCCCAAGGACTGCCAATAACTGCAGTCTGGAGTTTATATCAGGCTAAGAGTTGATGGGCTTTTTGATGACATGGAATTCAATTCGAGGGAAATGAAAGACACAAATCCATGTTTCTTTGTCTCTGCACTCCAGTACTTTTTTTTCTTTTACAAGATTGTTCTCTAACGACTATGTGTTATGGGAACAATTAAAACTGTACTACGTATATATAGCAATATATATATCAATTTGCACTTAGAATTGTTTAAATCCTTTGATACACTGATTCTACGTCTCAGGGTCCATTCTAAGGAACTATTCCCCAATACAGAAAGAAAACTCTAATAGGGACAAAGATGTTTAATGCAGCACTATTTAAATCATGAAAATTTTTGTGGAAAAACCTTTAAATGTATAATCATAGGAAATGATAAAATATTATAATTTCATCATTGGTTTATTAAGCTATCATGAAAATGATGTGTGTGAAGACCATAAAATATAGGCAATGCTCATGTAACTAAGAGAACAAAGAAGAAAATACACTATGCATAGTCATGACACTGTTATGTTTAAATGTTGCACAAGAAAAGGACTATAAAAATATATATCAAAACATTAAGTGTGGTTGTTTCAAATATGATTCCAGAGGTAATTTTTCATTGAATAAAAATTGGATGTATAACTTCCAAAAGCAAACACAAAGAAAAAGCAAAGAAAATCTGAATAATAGATAGATATTAATAATAATGATGAAGAAAGGACTATGTAAAAGAAAAAAAAATAACATACCATAAAATGAAAAAGCTAAGACCAAATATATCCTTTTTGTAATAAATGTAAATGCTTTAAATTTCTCTAGGAAAAAGCAAAGACGTATTTTGGTCCAAATCAAAATTAAATTTTATTCTTTTTATAAGAGCACATGTCTACAACAAAATGAAAGGTCAAAAATAAAGGACCAGTTAAGACACAGGGAAGCACATACCAAAAAGTATACAAATAATGGCTATATGACAAAGTAAAATAGAAAGTAAAAAACCATAAATAGGACAAAACATGTTATTTTCTATAGCTATAAGGAAAAATTGACAAGAAACATATAACAATCATAAACACCTATAAGCAGAATAACATAGCACTGAAATGTTTAAAGCAGAACTCTCAAATATTAGGTACAACAGATATCATCATAATTGTAGCAAGAGACTGTAGCGTAGAATACAGTACCTCTCCTGATCATTGACAAGCGAGTAGAAATGTATTGTGATACAGAGCATTTGAATATGCCTAGAAGACTTGATTTATGAGATATATGATGTGATAATATTTTGAAACATTAATCAGCATGCTTCCCTCCCCTCCACCTTATACGTGGAATTTTTGTGCACCACCCACCCCCAAATAGATGTGAGTCACTTGTTATAGAACCAGATACAAGGTCTGCAAATGCTCACTAGACACAAAAGGTGGCTTAAGCGTAGCACTCTGTCGACCGGGGAAGAGAAAGGGGAGGTGAGAACCAAGGACTGTAAGAAAAAGAACGTAAGAGAACACTCAAACCCTGTCAAAACATTGGCCATATGGCAGAATGCCAGAGAAAGCCACAGTGTCCCTCCTGTCACTGACCTGTGAAGACCACCAAATGCCACATACCCTCTAGTTAAGTCATGTTTGTCTGTGCTTCAAGGCTCTTCCCAGTCCCCACTAGTTCCATCTCATGTAGACAGCTCTGCCAAATAGTCCAGGACATTTGCATGCCTCTCACCTAACCACAGGGTGACTGCAGGTATGATTGTGATATGAAGGGAAAGCCTCGATCTCGCCAAGGTGGCTCCAGCTATCATGGGCTTGAAATTTTCCTCTGAGCTAGGAGCTGTGGTAGAATACACGCTCTTGTTACAGATAAATTGAAAAACTGTATGCTAGAAACTGAGAATGCACATTATCTCAAACCTCTATGATATGTATATATAATTTAACAGGCTATATAAAATCATAAACCCTTCAAGACATGTTATTTGATAATAGTACCATAAGCATAGAATTTTAATATATGTTGAATAAAAAAAGTCAAACCCTTTAGAAAAGATTTATAAAAAATTGCCCTAAGAAACATTTGGATCAAAGAGGAACTCAAAATTATAACTTTATTTAGAAAATAATCAGAAGATCTATATTACTCATGAAAACAAGGTATGAAACCAAAGCCACATTCAGGAGGAACATTCATAGTTTTATAATGTACTGATCATAAAACAAGAAAGAATAAAAATAAACAAACTAAATCTTCAACTAAAGAGATAAAGGAGACCCAAATCAACTTTAGTAGACATTTGTTGTTGCTGTTTTTTAGATTTTTTTTTTTTTTGGCTGCTTAGCCTCTGAAGTGTCTTCCTATATTTGGGAAATGGACCATGGTATGAATCTTGGAGGCTGGGCACTTCATCTGCACTTAAGCACACTGGAACTTTGCAGCTGAAGGGAGTGCCTGAAAGAATAGCCTTCATTCTGGTGGCCACATCTGGTGTTCAGTGGCCGAGCCCTGCATCCCAGTCAAGCTGCTTCTGGATACTGTGTCCATCTCAGGGCTCTGATTCTTGCGTATTCTCCCCACCTCGCTCTCTCCACCCCTCCAGTGAATCTCTGGACTGGTGACATCCTTCCCCAAACATTCTTTTCCAGCTTACATTAACTAGAGTCAGTTTCTATTCTTAGTAACCTCAAACCCTGAATAGTCTTCTGAACAAAACTGAAGGAATGTATAAGAATACAGAAAGAAATCAATGAGAGAAAAAAAATCTATAGCAATGATAAATAAACTAAAAAATTATTCTACAAGACCAATAAAATTGGTGAACCTCGAATGAATTTAATTACAGAAAAATTAAGAAAAATCACAAATACTGTTACAAAGAAAAAAAGATGTAGGAAGGATTCCAAAGTTTAAAATGATGTGAATGGGATCTACAGCTCTACACTTGATTAATGAAGGAGATAAATTACCAAAATTAACTGAAGTAGGAAACTTGAATATACTACCAACCCTGGAAGAAATGTCAATAGCTATATAATTTTTAAAAAACCTGTCCCCTTCTCAAAAGGCACAGAGCCAGACTGGTTGAGGAGGAAGTTCCTTAGAACCTGCACTATTTAAACCCCTCTTGGGCATGGAGAAAGAAGGCAGTAGAGCACATGTAGCCCTGGACTAGCCCAGTATAAGGGAGACCCTCCCAGTCCTGGATCCCCGCTGGCTCTCTGCCTCAGGGAGTGGGTTTCCTGCAGTGGAGCCCTCTGTCCTGTGGGGTTCAGACTGTTGTGTGGACAGGTCATTTTGCTATGCTATTCTGATCCAACTATCATCACTCTCACAGCTTCTGGTTATCTATCTGTGGCCAGTGTCAACCACATACCTCTGCCAGTCAAGGCCACTGGTGTGACTGCTCACACCAGTCATACTAACCAACCCTCTGATGGGCTGCCCGCATCTTGCCATCTCCACCAAGTTCATGCATTTTCGCTGGTGTCAGAAAGAGCACTACTGATTCCAGTCCACACCCTGGAGTCGAAAGTGATGAGGCACAGAGTGGTGTAGTTACCCGCCCAGTCCTCACTAGGATGATGTCAGGGACAAGGATTCAGCCCGGACTGGGGGTGGGAGCTCACAGCCAGGGGAGAGGCTGCCTGACTTTTGTCCTGGAGAAATGCTATAGCAGAGTGGACAGCAGGGCACAAGAGTAAACCGGAAGTGTCCAGGGCAGACAGGGGCTGCTGGTCACCCCAGATGGGACCTGGTGAGGACCCAGAAAGAGGAATTTCTTTTAGGTGGAGATTGAAGGAGGAAGATTTTTTTTTTCCAGCGTAAAGTGTTGCCAAAGTGGGTTCTAGGTCTTGGGAGACCTCATGTCCTTTGGAGGCCAGATTCAGCGAAGACGCTGGACCTGCTGGGGACAGCTTTGACACGAGGGTCAGCGCAATCTCCATGTCCCTGGCTGGACCTTGGCTGTGAGCGTGTTGACCTCTGGACCTTGTGCAAAGTGAAGCTCTGTGACTGACATACCTGGGAGGGGTTAGCCAGGGAGCCTGTTCTGATGTATTGTCCCGGGTATGGAACTCGTTGTTTATGGTACCTTGAAGATAGCTGCTCTTATGCAGGTGACAGTGGGCTTAGCGCAGCAGGAAGGCGAGCACCTTATTTGTGAGTAAATCACTCCACAACTCTAGGGTTCCCAGAGAACCACGACGTTTGAGCAGATTGGCCCCAGAGTACTGCTTGGAGAGAGAAGAAAGCCGCGCCGCCCACAGACCGCTTGCTCCTACTGCAGGAGCTTGTCCTGTTGCATCTCTCCTTCCCTGGGCATATTTCTGAGAGTCCCTTTCTCAAAACCTACGCCTACGGAAAATGGGCGGAGGGAGGCGACGTTGGCCGTGAGCGAATGTCCCAGGAGCGCAGAGAGGTGCTCCTTCTCCCCATTCCCATGACAGTCTCAAAACTAGACCCATGCCATCCCGCGCCAGCAAGCAGCACTGTGTGACTCCGCCTCCCAGGCCCCCAGGACACCCTCGCCCGGCGTGCGGCTCCCAGGCGGGTGGTCCTGTGGCTCAGATCCTCCTGGTCCCCACGCAACAATGAGGCGTGGGCGGCCCCAGCGGCCTCATTTGCATACCGCCGCGGCTCGGCCAATGGGCTGCGCAGGGGCTGTGGAGCGCAGTGTTGCCATCTGCGTGCGCGCGTGTGTGCGAGTGTGACAGCGGCTGTGGC